TAGTTTCGCTTTCACAACGAAACACACAGCGTAACACACACACGGCGGGCTAGAGTGAGTCGCGGCCTAGAGTGAGGAACGGACGGCGGGCAAGAGTGAGCGGCGGCCGGCGGGCTTGCGGCAAGGACTCCGCTTCGTCCACGGTGAAAGCCGATTCGGTCCACAGCGCGAAGTTAATGTATTTTCTCAGCGACCAGCACGGATCAGCTCCAGGCATGACAAAGCAGATATCGTCCTCTTTTGGAAGACCAATCAAAGTAGTTTTGCTTTCACAACGAAACACACAGCGCCTTCACGACATGGTGACGGCGCCAACAGCAATACTACTGTGAGAATAAAAGTTACGCCGCCTTTCTTTGCGTGAACATTTGGGTGGCGTTATGCAAATCTTCCCACATCGTGACGTAGACATGTGGGGGCGTGTTAGAACGAGGCATTTTAGGTAGGCGTGGTTGACTCTTAACTTTTATAAAGAATATCTCTTTGGATTTGAGACTTTAGTCTTTGCAACTTTACAGATCTTCTTTATGCACCAAGAGCTTGTAGCACTCCAAAGAGAAAGGAAAAATTGAAATCGCATCATATGACCCCTTTAAAACAATTGCATGACTGTGAAGAAACTAGCAGAAATGCACTGAAAAATGACTTTGAAACAGTTTTTAACCATAAATCGCTGTAAAATATGTATCTGTGTGATCAAATAATTACAAAGAAAATGAATGTAGAATTTTGAAGTAGAAAAACTTGCTCCAATAATAGTTTTATATAGTTAATTTTTGTTTTGGTTTAGAAGTATTAAGTATAGTATTTTATAGACACTCAAAGAATAATATAAATAGTACTGCTTGTGTACATTGTAATTAGTTTTTTGAAATTGTAAAAGATTATTGAGGTAAGTACAAGAACTGTATCTGTGTGATCAAATAATTACAAAGAAAATGAATGTAGAATTTTGAAGTAGAAAAACTTGCTCCAATAATCTGTTTTATATAGTTAATTTTTGTTTTGGTTTAGAAGTATTAAGTATAGTATTTTATAGACACTCAAAGAATAATATAAATAGTACTGCTTGTGTACATTGTAATTAGTTTTTTGAAATTGTAAAAGATTATTGAGGTAAGTACAAGAAAATACTATTCTAGTCTTTCTACTTATTGTTAAACTTGACATTTTTAATTATTTTTGAAATTACTAGCAATTTTTGTGTGAAAATTGTTTAAAAGAAAATCCCATACCAATTGTTTCACAATATATAGTTTACTGGCTACTAAGTATCTCAAATAAAACTTTTGAAGAATTAATACAACTAACGTGGTAAATGTTGTCAAATCCAATCATTTGTTTTTCATCACTGCTACTCATTTCATCAACTTGGTACCTTGATAAACATGAATTGTCCTTCTCTAGGTGGACTGATGGACTTTCTGACTCCCTTAAGATATGTATCAGCTGCCACTCAGATTGGAGCTAGTGATTTCTGGTGGCTCTTGTCATTTTTGTGTGCAGTATGCATCAGATAGTCAGTTAGAAGATGGGACTGAGCCTTCAAAACACAATTATGATGCAGCTAAAGATATCTGAATGCTTTAGAACATCTCAGTGCCCATTTCTCTCAAATGTATGTTTTGGTTTTTATGCTGATTTATTTAATTATAAATGCATTTTACTTATTCACCATTGGTGACATTACAGATGAACACCTCTTACACATGCAGAATCACTGTAAAGCATGGCCTCTTTTTGCTTTTTTACTTAGTTTTACAGGTACAGTCCTCTGGTGCAATCTGGGGTTAAGTGCTTTGCTCTCAATGATGGCAGCTCATGAATCACCTTTTTCTGGGGTAGATGTTCCTGTAGCTCTGTAACTATTAGAGCATGGCACTAGCAATGCCAAGGTCGTGGGTTTGATTCCCAGGGAACACACAACCTGACAAAGTGATGAATGCACACCTTGTGAGTCACTTTGGATGAAAGCGTCTTCCAAATACATAACCTGCAATCTTTTTGCATAACCAGTCCAGATTTTCAACCACTAACCCACACCAGAATGAAACACTCATCAGTTTTTTAAACTGTCTTACATCCGACACACTCCACCAATCGGTGATCCACCAAACAGGAGGATCACATGCTAATGAAAATATCCTGAAATGAAAAAGCCAATAACTATGCGGACCTGAAGCCAAAATACAGTTTATTTTTTGTTTTTTTCTCTATGATTCCTGAAAGGCTCCCATGGTCAATTTGACCCTGTTGAGACATTCACTTCTTTTCTCAAAGACTAAACCAATGAGTTTGTCTTGCAATTCTGAGAAAAAAAATCAGAGCTGCGAGAGAAACTCAGAATTCGGACATTCTGTTTCTGTGTTTCCTCCATGGAATAATAAAAATAAGTAATTGTGAATTTTAATCTCACAATTCTAACTTTTTCTTGCAATTGCAAGTCTATATTTCACAATTCTGATTTTCTCTGACTTAGAAGTGCAAGTCAGAATTGTGAGATGTTAATTAAAAATTACGAGAAAAATTGTCCTGTGGTGGAAACAAGCTTCCATAAAAACAAGACTAAATGACATAAATTACAGACTAAGAAAAGTTTTTTGTTGTTGTTTTGCACCGTGTGAGGAAAAATCAGACAAATGAAACGTAACCTCTCATTCCCTATGTAGGCAGTATGTATAACAAGGCAGCTCACTAGGTTTTAAAAAAGAGACACAAAGACATAAAAAAGTTGTAGTTGTCTCTGTCTGCCATTAGAGGAGTTTGAGAGATATTAGGTGTGGCTTTGGAGACATTTCATCACCTTAGTGGTTGTGTGTAGACCCTCTGTTGTTGAGGCTCCGCCCCTCTCTGTGGAATGGCAGGTCAGACACGGGAAACAGAGTGGGCTCTGTGTAAGAAGCGCAGGAGCGTTTGGGCCGCTGTTTGCTGAAGTGTGCTGTACCTGTATGAGGTGGATTGGAATGGGCTCGGATAGGAGGTTCTTTATGTTCTCTGGGCCCCACAGATACTCTGTGAATCTGTAAGACTATTTCAACTGGATCAGTTTTCTAAATGACATTTGAGTAACAAATAATTAATTGAGTACAGATTTGATTTCATTGAATAATACTTATTTATTTGGAATATATTGCTAAAATGCAAATGCAAATTGTCTGGATGCGGGTAATTTGCCATGCAATTAATTAATTAATTAATTAATTCATTCATTCATTTTATAATTTTATACTTATTGTACATAGATTATATTTACATAAATACATTTTATTTATGCTTTTTAATTATTACATTTTAGTTCATTCATTCATTCATTCATTCATTCATTCATTCATCTATTCATTCATTCATTTATTTATTTATAAATTCAGGTTATATGCCAGCAGCTAGTTCTCAAACCATCAAGATCCAAATAATGAAGATGGTAGATAATTTGTTCTGTAATTTACCAAAATTGGGTAATAAAAACTGGTTTGGACTTGACTGAAATGATGTAAATCTGCAAAACAACATTTTTCTAACCTTCTAAGCTTTTGTAAGTATCTTGTCTGATAAATTGTCGCAGAGTGTAAATTTAGCAAGCTAAAGTTTACATAACAGTGAATTATCATAAGATCTGACAATACAAGACCACAATATTAACAGTTGTGAATGTACTACACTGTTTATTGCAAATATTTGCTGAAGAATAGCTCAGTAGAAGTCTCATCTAGTTTTCTTCACAGGTGGTCTATGACTCTGTCTAGAAATGATAATATAAACCAGGGCTGCACAATTAATCGCGATTACAATTATGGATGTCACAATTACGTAATCGTTTAACGCGCCAATTAATCGTTCAAAGTCCACTTATGTTATTCTGCACGCTTAAGGTGTGTTTTTTTTCTTTCTACATGTTATCTTAAAGGTTTTTCCCATTATTTAAATTTTAGTTTTAGTATAACATTATAATACCATTCATATAATTTTACTTTTTTTCATTTAAAGAAGAACCAATCCGGTGTTTAGTTGACATTTGAGGCTTAATACTATAGAAAAAGTTTTTCAGTTAGTGTTTTCAGCTTGTTTATTTTCATATAAAAATACGGCATTCAGTTGCATAAAAAATGGTATAAACATCATTCAATGTAAATTGTGATAATCGTAATTAATAATCGCAATTACAATTTCAAGGGAATAATCGACAATTATGATTTTTGTCATAATCGTGCAGCCCTAATATAAACAGAGAAAAAAAACCTGGTTTTGGCAAACAACGTTTGTTGTGTCAAGCAGCTTTACATCAGTCATAAACGTCTGAAGGCTTTTTCCACATGAATCACAGACAATGTTCATTGAAAACCCATAATGCTCAACCACTAGCCAGAATGATCTTGTGGGGAACGTGTCCTTCTCAGTGTCTATGGCAGTTGCGGCGCTGCCTGAGCTCAACCACTTTGGCGAACAGAAAGGTGGGATGTGAGAGTCTGATGTGAATGGTGCTGGGTAATGTCAAGTTTCTAATGACAAATGTTATTTGACCGAGAGAACAGAGTAAACCAGTTTTGCAGTTCAAAAAGATGAGAAAGAACATGTTAAAAGAAAACATCTCTTCTGAAGTGAATTTTTGTTGTGTTGTGTTGTGTTGTGTTGTGTTGTGTTGTGTTGTGTTGTGTTGTGTTGTGTTGTGTGTTTTTTTTTTTTTTTGTTTTGTGTTTTGTTGTGTTGTGTTGTGTTGTGTTTTGTTTTGTGTTTTTTGTGTTTTTTGTTTTTTGTTTTGTCCAATCCCACAGTGTGTTTAATACTTACATCCTAGTTAGGCCTCTTAGTAATGGTAATTACAATAATTATAATATATTATTTGAAGTATTTTGTTTTGTTTTGCTGAAGAAAGCCCACAATATACTTAAATCCTAATTACACCCCTAAGTAATGGTAAACAAAGTTTCTAAAATGCACAATTGAATTTATAAATTATGTGTAAAAATAATGGCTTGGTTTTTTTTTTTCTTTTCTCTTTGCAGTTTGCCGGTTAGCCTGCCACAGGAAGTGTGAGGTTAAGGTAAGAAACAAAGCAAGCATTTTTAACAGGTTTTGCATATAAATGAATGTCTGTAACACTGAACTTGTGTTGTGAGAGACTGAGAACAAGGTTGTGAGACTTCAGAACTTCCCTAAATGGTTGTGTCTGCTTGTACAGGTTAGGCTCCTTTTGTCAAATCCACCATCACATTTCAGTCTGGAAACCAAACAAATCTTATCACAGAGGACATTTTTTTTCCTTGATAGTGGACAAGCCCCTCTGGTAGAGGAAGGGTATTTGCTCACTCTGGAATCTAAAAACAATAACTGCATGCTGTCCCAGGACATGTTTGGCTTGGCCAACTCATTCCTTGTTCTAGAATACCCTCCCTAAAATTAAGCCCCTCAACCTTTCCTGTATGATAGTCCCATTTTGAAGCGTGTTTTGAGAGTGGAAAAAGATTCTTTCAAGAACTGTTCACCGAAAGGTTCTTTAGAGAACCCAAAATGGGTCTTCTATGGCATCACTGAAAAAAAAAAAAAACACTTTTGGAACAATTATGTTTAAGAGGTGCCTTAAAATGCAGCCTATGCCGGCAGCTCACTAGGTTTTGGAACAGAGCCGCTGATTACTTTTCTTCATCATCTCTGAGCTCCATATGGCAGCTATTATTGTGTATATTGGTAATTTGTGTGTGTGCTACCTACTGCTGTGCCACTTTTTTGCACCCACAGGAAATTCCAGAGGTGCGAAGGGGTGCTTGTTTTTTTTGGAGCTCCGAGTTTGCTTTGCAGATCAGTGTTCACTGGCGTTCAGAAACGCTTGAGCATTTAGCTGTGTGGTTTGTAGAAACGACAGGATGTCTTGCAGGGATCATCTTCTCTTTGAGATCATCAAGGAAAAAAGAAAAGAAAAAAAAGCAGCAGGACGGGTTTTTTGTTTGATAGATTGCGTCTGATTTGGGAGGACAGCTATGACACCCTGAAGCTCCCTTGATTAAACTGCGATTAAGGCTAAAAAATGCTCCAGATCTGTTTAGAGACGTGTAACAACTTCCCTCGCCAGAATCACTGAGGAATTTCCGACCAAATCATCCAAGAATGGATGCAATTCGTTTCCTGTCATTAGATAAAAGATTAAAATGACAATGGTCAATGCAGAGCTGGCCTTTGGATTCCTCCCGTTTTTATTACAGAAATTACTTAAAAGTCAATGTGAAAAGCTGTATGAACTACAAAAAAGAACCCTGCAAAGTAAAGAAACCTCTCTTCTGAAACTGTAAATAAAAAGTTTTTACTTTTCAAAATTTAATTTAAAATGTAATTTTTTTATTTAATTTTATTTAATTTTAAATGATTTAATTTTTATTTATTTTAATTTTAAATTATTTTTATTAAATTTTATTTCAATCCAATTAAGCCTCCCCAATGTGCTATTTTAATTGATTTTATTCACCACTTAAGCTTAAAATGTACGTCCTCGTTAGACCCCTGAGTAATAGTAAAAAGAACATATTTTTTTTAAATTAAAGATTATACTTGTATTGACTTCAAAAAAAAAAAAAAGGTACAGCAAATGGTCCCAGTAAGTCTAGGATTGTGCATTATAAAAATTAATAGGGTCAATTTTCATTTCATGTTGACATCCCAATACAAATCCAAGCAATTTATATAATTCAAGCCCTTGTCAGATGGACATTTTCCACACCGACATGCTATTCCATAAATCTCCACGTCCATATTTAGATAAGATGTGGCTGCGGTCTAACCTCTGCCACAAAAAACAAATGCTCAGACCATTTGCACTGTCCAGACTTGGCGGCTAACTGGCTCTGCTCTGAGAAATGTTGGAAGAAACCAGACAAATGGCACATGAACACAAATATGACATTGTTAACAGACACATGCTAAAGAATCTTCCACCTAAAATACACATAATGACTAGAATGTTGACCAGAAACATTGATATTTTGTTGTTTACATTTTTTGTCTTGTTTTCCAGTAAAAACTATCTAAAATAAATTTAAGTCAAAATAAATTTACTTGAGAAACAACATTGCTTAGAATATTAGGACTTATTTTCATAGTTTTTTACAGTTGTTTTTAACTTAAAATACAGTATCTGACAGTTGCAGTAAGACAAAATACACTCATACACACAAAATACAGTCTTATTCTGTGTTGCTTCTCATGTCAGTGTATCTATTTGAAGGATTTGTAGATATTTTTACTGGAAAAGTAGATAAAAAATACTTGTTAAGAATGGGTCTTTTGGCAGCTAAGAGAGCTGGGACAAATTTCAACCTGAAGAATGACTCGCATCATAAATGTGTCTTGGATAACAGAAGGTTGTGCAGGTCAGACAGCTCCAATCACAACAAATCCACCTTCTCCAACGTCTCTTCTTCTCTCATTACGATTGCTCATTTCTGTCGACAGCTTAGCCTGGTTTCACAAGGGGTTGGAAATGACTGCAGCGGTTCACAGCGGGTTCATTGCACACGGGCTTGGACGAGTTTAGGCACGTCCGCGAGACTGGACTTGATTTGAATTCCAAAGGCTGGAAAATTAAGTTACAGTCTCTGGGTGATTGTAAATATAGGCAGGTGAGGTTAAGTGGGAGAGTAAATGAATCATTAGACTCAAAGGCCAGCCATGAGCTGTATAGAGCTAATGTGAGACGCCGGTGGCGAGCACATGTGTACGGTGCCAGTTCACTGCAGGGAGAATCAGCGTGCTATAGAGGGCAATTACTGGAAATGCCAGAGGAAATCAGTGTGAATTAAAAGGTGTGAGAAAACATCTAGTCAAAGATGTCAGATGTGACTTTATTGTGTAGTCTGACACGTTTCTTAAAGGTGAAATGTTTCATTCCTGTGTACAATTGGTGTCATGGGAATTGCAAAAATAATGACTCGTGGTGGGGATTTTGATTCATCTCAGTGAGGCATTGAATCAATCACTGAACTTTATTCAGTGTCTCAAATCTTCAATCAGTTCAACAAAAAGATTTGTTTGTTTATTAATTTAGTTACGCTTCATTGACTTGTTTAGCAACTTTTTTAGATGTGATGTGACTTTATTGTGTAGTCTGACACGTTTCTTAAAGGTGAAATGTTTCATTCCTGTGTACAATTGCTGTCATGGGAATTGCAAAAATAATGACTCGTGGTGGGGATTTTGATTCATCTCAGTGAGGCATTGAATCAATCACTGAACTTTATTCAGTGTCTCAAATCTTCAATCAGTTCAACAAAAAGATTTGTTTGTTTATTAATTTAGTTACGCTTCATTGACTTGTTTAGCAACTTTTTTTCTTAAGGTTTCTTCTTGAAATGAGCCTTTGTTCAGTGACTCAAATATTTTGAATCAATTAACCAAAAAGATGTATTCATTTGAGTTACCTTTTCTGTAGGTTTTTGCATTTCAGTGAGTTGAATCTTTTGAATCAGTTCATTAATAAGATTTGTTAATTCGCTTGGTTACCTTTTCTGCAGGTTTCTTGTGTTGAGTGAGTCAATAATTGATTCAATCAACTTTGTTCAGTGACTCAAATCTTTTGAATCCGTTCACGTTAATTATTTAGTTATCTTGTCTGTAGGTTTCTTGTGTTATGAATGAGTCAATAAATCATTCGCTAAACTTTATTCTAATAGGAGAAAGTGTTCTTTAGAAAAATATACACATCAGCTTTAACTTGGGCCCCTGAAATGCTTGTTTACGTTGGCAATGAGAAATATGATCACTATGTGTAAGAAAAACTTCCTACTCAACCTATGGAGCTGCAGCTACAAATACCCTAGATTGCCTTTGTACCGACCAGGAGATAAAGCCATTAGTCATTTTGGTCTATTGAACTATACATCCGTATTTGGTAATATATGATGGCTATAGAATGTCTATGCTCTGATATCGTTGTTTGCGTTCCAGCTGGTCTTTCCAGATCCTTTGAATACTATATATAGAGTCTGAAATGTCTTTGCCTCCTACTTACTCTGAATGTCTTTGAACACACATAGCTAAATAGGCAGTTGGCCATTTAAAAAAAAATTAAAGGTTCTTTATTGGCATCTATAGTTCCATGTAGAACCTTGAACATCCATGGAATCTTTCCATTCAACAAAATGTTCTTTATAGTGGAAAAAGGTTCTTTAGATTATGGAAATGTTCTTCATGCTAAGAAAAGTGGGTCTTTTAAGAACTGTTCACTGAAAGGTTCTTTTGGGAACCACAAAAGTGTTCTTCCATGCCATAGTTGCGAAAAACCATTTTGGAGTCTTTTGAAACCTTTGTTTTTAAGAATATACAGTCAGTTGTATCTTTCAGATCAGCTTCCTTTATTGTGGAGTAGCATTTTGAAGGGAGTCGTGGTGAGTTTACATGTATAGGCTATGTGTACACTTGCAAGCAAAAGTTTGTGAACCCTTTGGAATTAAATGGATTCCCACTGATTGCTTATAAAATGTGGTCTGATCTTCATCTAAGTCACAATTACAGACAAATACAATCTGACTAAACTAACAAGACGGAGTAATAATGCTGGAAAAAGTAAGTGCACCCTCAAATTTACTAACTTACACATCCTTTTTCTTGCAACTTTTGATGGTACTTTGGCGTTTGACAAACCCCCTTGAGTATTGAGGTTATTAGCACAACAGTAGTGCTAAAATGAGCGTTAAGATGCACTGGCCAAGTATTTGTGTCTACTTTAATGCAGACAATGTTTTTGACTTGTGCGTTGGGTTAAGGACTTTGCTGGAAGGGAACAGCGTGAGTAATGTTTAGTCCAACTCCTAGGGAGTCAATGTGAGAAAATGAACTACCTCTGACCACCATAAATCACCTTCTTCTTAAATAGCTAAGCATTCTTTTTATTTCCCACTTTAAAAAAAAAAAACCTTTTATAGGATCATAGCATATTGTTAGTCCTGGCGTGAGACTCTGAAAACACAGCATTGTCTTTTACGACGCTTCACCTCATTTCCTCATCTCAATGTTTCTTGGTTTCAGCTGGAGGACTGACCGGCTGCTAGCAAGAGA